ATCGGTGTAAGCAGAGGAAAAGTGATATGTAAAAAATATTAAAATATTGAAGTCAAAAGCATCAATCTGGTGGACTTTGAGAGCAACATTAAGAGATCTATGGATACATTAAGAGATCTATGGATACATCTCTCAACACCCATATGAAACAGAACTGTAAGCAGATTTTTTTTCTTTATGGATATTTTACAAATCACTTCCATTTTAAACTGTATTCTTGTTTTACTGTATAGTATTTCATAACTGTTTTTCATTTATTCTCATAAAAGGTGACCAAACCGTTTGAGACCCACTGAGATAACTAGACTAAAGTTAACTATCAAACACTCAGAGTCCCTTACCTCACTGAGCTGTAGTTATCTCTCTCCGTCTTCTGTAAGGAAGTGGCAGATTTCTTCCGGCTGTGTATTTTCAAATTCTAGCACACTCGAGCTGGTTTCTCCAAAATTACCTACCCCTCCTTTAATACAAAAATAAATTCAGGTATTTGAAATCGCATTGGACACCGTGTTTGTAACTGGTTTCACAAACTGCTCCAAATGCATGACACTGCAAAATACACAAATAACTAATAAAGGCTTTTTAAATGTGACTAGAATCCATACAATGGATGAACACACTGTCAGTTACTGTAGGGTTTCCTGTTGTTGCCCGTTTGTCATAATAACTATAGTTTGTTAACGTAAGGTGTCGCACTTTATGACTGGATAAGACTGGACAGCATATGTATCTCCTGTCCCGCCTCCAACATGTTTGGAAAATGTCCCCAGATTGTATTGGATCTAGTTTAAAAGTAAAACCGTTTTTCTAAATTCAGGTACTGCATGGATTGACAAAAATACAGTAGTAATACTTTCAATACAGTGAACTCCACTTTTTTTTTTATCAAACTGCTCCCTCTGCTGTTCAGAGCCCTACACTACATCCTTGAATCTTCAATTCACAGTATTTGGCCAATTTTTGTACACAGAATAAGTGTATAAAAATGGTTGTACCGAACAAATGACCAGTACCTACCTTCAGAACACTACTTCTGTTATTTACTGTCAGTCCTTCTGCATTTTTTTCCAATTTTAAGGAAGTCGTTGGTTATTTTTTTGATAAATTAGATCTGATATAGCAGCACAGCAATACGATTATTTTCCCAATTAAAAGTAATGTATGTATAATTCATGTAGTGTATACATAAGTGACTTTTAAAGTTAACGACACAGGACACGAGAATTCAATTCATCACTTCCATATTCAACAGATTTTATTGTGTTACACAATATGTGAACAGCATATCTACAAAATAATGAGTTAAAAAACGTATAAATTCCTCGTTAAGAGTTCACCATCTATTTCATTTTGTCGTCTTTTCTTCCTAAGACAACACTGTGGTCCAAAAATCTCTTTGTGGGCGGGGCTGAGATCTGTGGAGACATCATCTGGAGGACTTTCCGTTTTCGTGAACATCCATCCTGTCACAAAGGAACGAGTTTGATTAAGACATGGGAATCGTGCGTGAGGAATATTGAGTTACAGATGCTTAATGTTTCCTACACACCCATTCTCCTCTTTGAGCTGCTGGTACAGCTCGAACTTGTTGTTGACGGAGCTCACTCTTCCCATGAACTCTTGGTGCTTCCTGGAGTTCGCTGCTGTGATGCGGTTGCTCCACATCGTGAGCAGCGAGACAGGACCTGTGGCAATAAAGAGACCGAGCCACAGATTAAAACACACATATCCAGAGTGGTGTCATCGGTGTGTATTTCGCACATTTGTACACAAGCTACTTCTCCTACTACAGCTTTCCACTTTTCATAACAATACTACACATTTGTTTGAGTATATTTTTATAGTACACAGTTCTTTGGTATATCCATATTTCATAAAATAATTTTCTATGTATTTTTTTTTATAATAGTTTGTGATTTTTTGGTTGATTTTCTTACAATGTATCTTCTTTAACGCAGCGTCCACACGGCGGCATGCGTTGAAGCTTGCGGGTGAGCTTGTCTGAAACTCGACCAACAACCAATCACATGAATCTCCCGCCCCGGACACACAAGCACGCAGTTTGATTGGCTAGAGCTCGTACTGGCATATGATTTGATTGGCTGACGCTTCCGCCGAAGCTTCAAAAGTTGAACATTGAAGCGAGCAAAGCTCCCACAATGCAGTTGGCAAAGCGTGACGTCACACCATTCAAAGTGAATGGGCAGAAGCGGTGAAGCTTCGACGCACGCCGCCATGTGGACGGGCCGTAACTGTGTTTATGTAGGCACCATATCAACCAAATTCCTCGTATGTGAAAATCTACTTTGCATTAAACCTGTTTCTGATTTACTGCAATAAGCTCTCATCGACACAGGCTCACCTGCAGGGAACTATCGGAGACTTCTGCCACTTTTCTGGTCAGTTCGTCAATGATTTCTAATGGTTTTGTTTACATTTTAAGCAGAAGTGTGTGATGAGTGTACCTTTGGCTCTCTCTGGAGGCGGGACCTCCTCAATGGAGAGGCGAGGCTTCTTATTGGCCGGTTCTGGAGAATCTGGGGAGTCTTTGATCACCTCAGACTCCGGCTCTTCCTTATCCAGCAAACCCTTTAGTCTGAAAACACACAGAAAGACACGTCAAAGCCACAGTCAAGAGGATTTCTATTTACATTTAGGATATTATAATATATCTGTTGAACTTTTTAAATCTCAGCTAAAAACTCACCTCTTTGCGCCGGCTTTTAATACGAGTTGAACATCACATTTTTACATTTGTTTTTATAAGTTTCTAGTTATTGTGCTTTGTATCATGCCCAAAGTGCTTCACAGAACAAGAAGGAAACATAACAACAATATTAAAATAAATACAGAACAAGATAAAACATCAACAGTGATCCTAATAACAAATGTCTCTCAGAGGGGCGTGGGGAGGGGCTCCTTAGTTTCATCTAAAATAACAGACAGAGAATCAGCACTTTGGAAACAGGGCTGAAACAGAGGGGATTATGGGTAATGCAGCAATGATCTGTTTGGGGTTTCAGCCAATCAGAGACAAGTTCTGTATATATGTGAGACCTGTAATATATTGATGAAAAACAGAATAATAGGGGACCTTCAAAGTAAAGTTAAAATAAAACAATGAAAAAAATCAAATGTAAAATGAAAGCAAAACTGAAAAACATGGAAAATGATACCAGTGAGAATTGAAAGTTAACCCAAATAAAAAAGATAAGGTTTTAATGTACTTTTAAGCATTTCAAGGGAGTTTGCTGTTCTAAAACAAAGCAATAATAGATTTTAACTGCTCGAAGACAAGCACAGCTTACAGCAGGGGCTGCCGACCCTTACAGTATGTTTGTGTAGGTATATAGAGCCTATTTTGAATATTGCCTTTTCATAAGAGATATTGTGAATGGGGGAAATAGTGATTTATTGTGGTATGGTCTAAGATCCACGATATATGAAGACTGACCTTTCCGACTCCTGCCAGCTTTTGTCGTCTGCATCCTTGCTGCCATTTTTCTCCGTCTTGTCCTCCTTGTCCTCCCTCTTCCTCCCCCTCTTCTTCTTCTCCTTCTCCTCTTCCTCGGGGGGTTTGCTGCGGCAGGCGATGATGCAGTCGAGAACTCTCTGGTGTCGGTCCGTGGCTCCGGCGTGAGTTTTCACCAACGTCTCCAGCTCGTTCCACATGATACGATACTGTTCGTCTCTGGGGGAAAAACATGGAGTGAGTGACACGGCTTTTTAACTAATGACCAGAGGTGGGAGGTAGTGGAGTACAAATACTTTGTTACTGTACTTAAGTACATCTTTCTGGTATCAGTACTTTACTCCACTACTTATTTTTCTGTTGACTTTTTACTGCTTCAATACGGACTTTTTACTTTTACTCATGTTGAACACAAATACCTGTACTTTCTACTTCTTACATGTTGAACACAAATACCTGTACTTTCTACTTCTTACATGTTGAACACAAATACCTGTACTTTCTACTTCTTACATGTTGAACACAAATACCTGTACTTTCTACTTCTTACATGTTGAACTCAAATACCTGTACTTTCTACTTCTTACATTTTGAACTCAAATACCTGTACTTTCTACTTCTTACATGTTGAACTCAAATACCTGTACTTTCTACTTCTTACATGTTGAACACAAATACCTGTACTTTCTACTTCTTACATGTTGAACACAAATACCTGTACTTTCTACTTCTCTCATTTTCCAAACAGGCTGGTTCCTTTAGTCTGAATGTGTGTTTGGTGGCGTGATCATTATTATTTAGAGTCATTGCGTGCCTATTGATTTGAACACGATCCGTGTATCCATCATTTCCTGGTCTTCTCTAAAGAAG